TTTCAGTTTTTTTTTTAATTAAATATTGAAATATTGCAGCAGATATGCAGTTTTTTCTTTGCAGTTTGATGAGCAGTGTTGGGGAGAGTTACTTAAAAGTAAAGCATTACAATATTGTGTTACTCCCTAAAAAGTATCGAATTACTTAGTTACTTTTTATGGAAAGTAATGTGTTAAATGACTTTTGCGTTACTTTTTCTCATCTGGCCTGGGCTTGTTTGTTTGTTTTTAATATAAAAAAGCTCTGCTTTTGGCAAATGTAAAAGCCCTTTCACACCAAAAGTGCTCAAACAAACCTCTCAGCTGTGCTGCCATTCTGGATTGCTTGAAGAATAGGACGTAAGAGAAGAAAGTTCAACACTTTCTTCTTGCTCACAAAAAAAATAAAAAAATAAAAAAATAAATTTCACTCTCTTAGCTTTTTTTATTTTTATTTTTCATTTAGTTAGGTTTCTGGTGTGTCTGCCAGCTCAGAAAAGCTGAAAAGAAAACACGCAGCCAATTCGTTATGGGCTTTCTGAGTCTGAAATGGTGTCATCCAGCGAGCTGTTTCAATTTGCAGCCGGTTTCTATGTAGATATCTAGCTATTTGAATAAGATCACCTCTGAGCCATATACAGAGTCCAAGGCAACAATTCACACATCTTGTGTCGACACGCCCTATGGAAGATAAGGGTTTTAACCAAAGTATGTTAAATGTTACAGACATTTCATGATAATTCTAAAGAATCATATACCAACTTGTGGAAAATGGGCATCCTTGTCACCTTTAACATATTTAAATATTGCAGGTTTGTGTAATATTCTGAGTTTGCTTTTCACTGTTTTTATTCATTTTGAGGAATACTGAATCTGTTTTTGTGCAAATGAGATGAGTAAATGGATGTTCACATTTAGTCTAGAACCACAGTAACAATCATGTTTACACGGCACACACAATGCCTCTGCACTTATTCATGAGTTCTCTCAACATGGGAACAGGAGAGCTGTCAATCAATAAATGGGAAAACAATCTGGCGTATTTGAACTCAGATATTTCCTTGTAAATTAAAAAGTAATGCATTACTACTAGTTACTTTACTCATGTTACTTGTAATGCGTCACTGCTGATGAGTCATACAAAATAAGACTAAGAACTTGTATTAAGAAAGTAAATAGTCAATTTTGCTGAATTTCAAGTTATGGCCATATAGTGTGCGTTTCTTTTCCATTTGAGGCTGTAAGAAAGACTGATGCAAGAAAATCGTACATACCATTAGCTAATGTAATAAACCTTGGGTTAAGAGCAAGGCCAATCTTAGAAATTGCTTTAAATAGTGATAACTTTCATAAATGTTTCATTGTATGCCAATCAATATTTTAACTTCACTGCTCTTATAAAACCACATGAAATACCCCATAGCCTGCCTACAGAGGGTAAACAAAGCACCGCTGAGCTCTTGACGTCGTCTCATAGGTCTGTAACACACTCACCTGGTTCTAAAGGAAAACCACAGAGAGAATCATGGAACCCTGACCTACAGATACAGACCTCAGCCGTCCTTCTGTTGCGCTAGTGTTACACAAGTGTGCAGAAACATATCACACTATTAGTAAAACACTCTTGCATAAGCAAACATTAACTATGCTTAGTCAAGCTGCCAACTGATAAACCACACATTTGAGAAGAGGGGCCTGATTTGCAGGGCCCAAAAACACTTAATGTTCAATCCCTTCCTTATCCGCAAGCCACTCAAAACATCTCCAGCACTGAGAGAAATTCACGAAGCACGCTCCCTTTTGGTATCGCTACTTTCAAAACAGATTTTCATGCCTGTTTTTCTTAGTTTTCTCTGGTAATAGTAAAGTAACGTTTTTGCTGTAAACGCTGCCAAAGGCTACACAATTGTGAGTGTGATTATTGCTTGTAACTGGAAGAGGGTTTTATGGACAATGAGGCCAGTTTGGGGCACTGAGACTAAATTGGGTGAACAAAAAAAGCATAGACAGATGGAGAAAGACGAACCATCAGCGCTTAAATGACATATTGGTGGAGGTAAAAACAATAATTAAGTCACTATCTGAAGTCACTGATGGGACTTTTTATCTATGAAAAAGTGCTGATATGAAATTGCATAACTGGAGTAGTATCAAGTAATTAAAGGCTACATTGTTCGACCAGTGATGACCATCCGTATTGAGCAATGAATATCATTCATGGCATGGAAGATAAAATCAGCAGAACATCAGTTCCACCTGGTGGCCAGACAGACAAATAAAAATACAACCTTCTCATTCTGTTGTTTCAGACTTGATTTAAATGTTCAGCAACATTTTGATATCCAATATCAGGGCTCAACATTATTCAAAATAAAATCAAAAATAAAGTATAACAAATATTAAAATATAAAATTTAAATCTCTTTAAAATATTTTATTTTTAATATACATAAGATATAATTAAAATGATTTTTAATAATTTTAAATTTGTAATAATTATATTTTTCTTTTTTTAATTATTTTAAATTTGTAATAATTTAATGTATTTAAATATTGTATAGAGAGAAACAGAGCTTTCATTTTTTTTAGCAAAAAAAAAACAACAAAACAAATTGGTGAAGACTGCAGAAACATTGTTATAATTGTTGAGCCCTGAACTTCAATCACTGCTTTGGCATAAATTCTACATCCAATAATGAAGTGCAAGATTTGTAAAGACTCGACTCGGACTAACCAACACTTTACATGAGTTTATTGAAATACATACAGCATTAGCACAGATTGAACAACACCATATCACTGAAATAGTACTTCTACTGAAATAATGAAATGAGCAATATTGTCCATGGTATGATGAAATGTTATAAAACAGCAAAGGCACTTTTTCATAAGTCTGAAATAAACCTGGTCACTTTTGATAAGAAGTTATCGTAGAAAGGCACATGAAGAATTACTAATCTTGCATGTTGCTCCTAATAATAGACTATAGATGAACCGTCATGCTTGTGTTAAACTATTACTTCGGGAAAAGTTCAAATATACTTTATATATACACTACATACTTCACAATCAATTTCTTCCAATGTCACAAGCGTAGCACAGGCAATACCGAATAACTTGAGGCAGACACACCTACAATACTTAGAGTTATGAATTTTCAACTTCATATTTTGCTTTCACATATTTTTAGCAGTGTTAAAAAAAAAGGTAAACTAATATGTATGGTCACTTTTAGAACATTTTTGTCCACAAAATTCCTATGTAATTACTCTAGCACAAATTAATAACAAAAAAATAAAATAAACAACAAAAAAAGTAATTTAAAAAACCTGACTAAGTGTCACAGGCTGAATGATTAACAATCTGTTTTCAGAAACAACATCTACCCATTAAATATATCAATTTTTAACATAGTACCCAGCCCTGAACTGCTAATTTATATAGAAGTGCTATTTAAATGTGTTACTCCACAATAAATTACCTATTGCCACACTAAAGTACCTTTTACACAAGTATTCTGTTAAACACAAACAAGTTAGATATGCTAACATGTGCCTCTGATGGACTGGCAGCACCATAATATATTAATTTGGATCAGTGATTAATATTACAGCACAGTCTGTTGTTCATGGCAGTGCGGGAGACCCCGGTCAGAGTGTGTAGCGAGCTGTACTGGTGAAGGGTGTGTCGGATTGGGCTTATCTGCTGGATGCACAAGTTTCAGGGGCTCTACAGAGGACATGGAGTGAAAACGGCCCCCTGTTTAAGCCCCCACGGCCCTCTCTCCCCATTGCTAAATTGTATGTAGTGAAATTGTATATTATAGAGTGTCTACTGTACAATGCATTGAAGAAGTTGAACCCTGAAGGTGAAATGTTATCACTGTAAAAAAAATAAAAAAAGGTTTCTTCTTCAGGTAGAGTAGGTTTCTAGCAGCAGTATCATGCATATTTGAATTTGTGGCTAGGACCACTATGTTGATGGTCTGTAGGATAGTTATTGTGTGTTTTTGTTGCATTGGAAATGTGTGGCCTTAGGTTTGAGTAGCTTGCACCTGTTAAACCAACGACTAGTGCTAAACAAGATAAACTAGCACTCCCCATTGCTAAATTGTATGTAGTGAAATTGTATATTATAGAGTGTCTACTGTACAATGCATTGAAGAAGTTGAACCCTGAAGGTGAAATGTTATCACTGTAAAAAAAATAAAAAAGGTTTCTTCTTCAGGTAGAGTAGGTTTCTAGCAGCAGTATCATGCATAACCGAATTCGTGGCTAGGACCACTATGTTGACGGTCTGTAGGATAGTTATTGAGTTTATTTGTTACACTGGAAATGTGTGGCCTTAGGTTTGAGTAGCTTGCATCTGTTAAACCGGCGAGTAGTGCTGTTACCTTAATGCTAAACAAGATAAACTAACAATATTGACTTTATAAAACATACTAACAGCCATACTGAGTTTGAAATACAGTAACTCCATGAGAAGTGAATTATTGAGGATATCAACAACACGGTGGAAGCGACAAGTACAGTAAAAGTCATTTCATTCATTTATCCTTCATGTGTGGAGACAGTGACTCCTATGACAGAGGTACACTACTGCTCAAAAGTTTGGGGTCAGTAAGATTTTTTTGACATAAAATAACACTTTCATTAAGCAAGGATGCATTCAGTTGGTAAAGACTATTTCAAATAAATGCTAAATAAAAGTTTTTACAAAAAATAATGAGCAACACAACTGTTTTCACTATTGCTAATGATAATAAATGTTTCTAGAGCACCAAATCAGCATATTAGAATGATTTCTGAAAGATCATGTGACACTGAAAACCAGAGTAAAGGCTTCTGAAAATTCAGCTTTGCTGTCACTAAATAAATGATATTTTATTATAAAATAAAACAAAGAGTAGTTATTTTAAATTGTAATAATTTTACACAATATTACTGCTTTACTGTATTTTTGACCAAATGCAGCTTTGTAAGCATAAGTGACTTTTTTCAAAAACATTTTAAAAATCTTACACATGCCAAACATTTGAACAGTGCAAGAAGGGAGACAGCAGTGAATCATTCATTAAGCAAAAAGGCTGCTTCTCATTTCATTAATTGTCCATCCACTTTACTTTACTTGCAGTATAGCTCCTTTATCTTAAGATCTTAAGGACGCGAGTATGAGATAAAGGATGGAGGAATCAAAGCAAAACGGAATATGCTGTTCACTCGAGCATTACTTTTAAATGACATTTTTGCGCAGCTATATTACTTAAAAAAAATATGTGTGCTTCAGGTGTCAGTACTGAGAAGACAAGAAAATCTAGTGGTGAATGGCATCTTTCTGCACAGCAGTAATCCTCACATGCCATGTGTCAATGTACTGAACAACTGAAACAGACTTTAGTGTCATTTTTGCGTTTTTAAATACTTGTCATGGCATCATATACTTTTGTTGTTGTCCATGCATTTTTTAAATGACTAAGTACCTACCAGCCCTATGAGACTAGTCACTAATCATCTGTTTCAGATTTGAATTGCTTTAAGTCTTGACGATTTAATGGTTTTTGGAGATTGCGATATTTCTAACACAACACAAACATGAGCAGTTTGAATAGGTGAGAGAGTCTCACCCACTCAAGCTCAGTTGAAGTCTCGATTGGGGAAAATAACAGGAGCCACAAGCGTCCACAGGTAGAGCCCCAGACCCAGCCAGCTGGAGCTGATCTTTATCCACACTGCAGGCATAGTGCTCTGCATGGCCTGAGTGGTTGTATCAGGTCTGAAGATAAAAGACAAAGAACAATATTTAGACCTCAGCTTGTCTATGGTGCAGTTCTGTTGTATGCTTTGTGACTGCATAAAAAAAATGACCAGTACATCCTTCAAAATTTAAAAGAATCAAAATGAAAAAATGTCATACAGGTTTGGAACATAAATGATGACTATTTTCATTATTCGGAGAACTATCCCTTTAAACTATGATAGGTGAAAGTATTTTAAAATGACAAACTTCACCTTTAAAAAAAGTGAACTTTTTGGTTCACTCCAGATTCAAAAAGTGGAAGAATGAGCACTTACTTGTACCAGTTAGTGAGTGTCATCATAATGTAGAGAGAGGCCAGTAAGAGGTGGAAGTGGAAAAAGGAATAGTTGTATGTGACCCCGTCCTCTTCATTATCCACGACACGCCGCAGTCCGTCTTTCCCCACCTCCTCTCCTCCCACAGTGCCCTTCCCCTCCTCCGTCTGCATCAGCCTGTTCACCTGAGCGTTACTGGATGAACGGATGCTGAAAAGAGAAAAGACATGGACACTAGCATGACAATGTTCACTTCTCTTAGATTCATATTTAATTGATGATGAGCTATACTGGGGGTAGAGTTCAAAGGCAGAGAGGTTGTTTTTTTCTGATATGGTAAAATGTAACATTTTCTCACACTTGCCAATGAATGGCAAATTAATTGAGCAAATTTGGGGGTCAAACGTTAAAGGGGTCCTATTATGCTTTTTCACTTTTTCAACTTTAGTTAGTCTGTAATGTTGCTGTTTGAGCATAAAAAATATCTGCAAAGTTACAAAGTTCAAAGTCCACTTCAAAAGGAGATATTTTATTTAACAGAAATCACTTTTCAAAAACTACAACGAATGACTCGATTTAGAAAAGACACATTAAAACTGACAGTAAAGAAAAAAAAATATTTAAATAAATGCTGTTCTATTAAACTTTATATTCATGAAACAATCTAAAAAAAAAGTTAATGATCATGGTTTCCAAAAAATATTAAACAGCACAACGTGAACATTAATAAATGTGTCTTGAACACCAAATTAGCATATTAGAATGATTTCTGAAGGATCACATGACACTGAAATCTGGAGTAACGGCTGCTGAAAATTCAGCTTTGCCATCAAAGGAATAAATTACATTTTACATTATATATAAAGAAAATTTTAAATTGTAACAAAATCTCACAATAGTACTGTTTCATTGTGTTTTTGATTAAATAAATGCAGCCTTGTTAAGCATTCTTCTTTCTAAAAAATTAAAAATTAAAAAAATTTAAAAATTTAAAAAAAAATCTTAAGGACCCCAAACTTTTGAACAATACAATACAATACAATATTAGTGCCATTCAAAAGTCTGAATGAAAATTAATAAAAATCTGATTCGAAATCTAATTTTAACCTGCAAAACCTTTTGAAATTTTTTAATGAAAAACTTTAGGATTTTGAAAAATCTAAAGAAATGTTGACAAACTGAATACAAATGTTTAAGATTTTAAGAAGCACAATATTTAAGAAGCACGATTAATAAAATAACACATTTATGACACTGACCACGTTAAAGGCCAAAGCAACCATTTAATGTGCGAGTAACTCTTTACTCTCTACTTGCCAAGGCCAAATTGAACTCACAGTTGCTGCTTGGCAAATGTTAATTTTGGACCCTGCCTACAGGTGTCAACATCGGACACCACTAATCAATCAATCAACCCATGTCTCTGTGCAGCTGGATGCGAATGTTAAATTGTAATGTACAATGAATCAGCATGGAAAACACCAGTTAACTACAGTAGCTGGTGTAGAAATAGATGGTCTTTATAAATTTAAATAACACTGATAGTAACAAGAGGTCAATTAAAGAAACAAAAGTCATGTTCATAAATGTTTTTGCTTGATGTACCTGGCATAAAAGGTGCAGAAGAGGAAGATAACCAGTCCCACAATGCCTTGAGCATCCCACCACTGCACCATTCCAGGGGAGCTTGTGGGCATGGCTTCAGTTGTGCTGATATTGGACACCAGGCTGAGCAAACTAGGGTTACATTCACGGTCTATGGGTGGAGCCAGACAAATGAAAAGTTTAAAAGTGAACAACAGAAACATAATATAATACAACTATGGCAATTAATCACATACTTCCCTACTAAAAACTATGATCAAACACCTAGTGGTGAGCTAATAATTTTTTTAAACTTATCTAGGTTGCTAATAGGTATACTTACTAGACATAACAGAATGTGGGGATAGTGGGTTAAATTTATAATCTGGATTCTAACAGGTAATTTGGCTTTATTCAGTAACAAGCATCAGGAGACTATAAAGGTTGAGCATCTGGTTTGCATGAAACCACAAAACTCACCAAAAATTGCATCAACCTGAGTAGGAACGAAATGAAAGCTCATAAAATAAAAAGAGAGAAAAAAAGTCAGACAGTAAATATTTTCTGAGGTTTTTTTTGCATGTGACTTACTAGGATTATTGGTCATGGCGGACCAGGTGACGTACATAGTGTACATAGTAATAATAGAGGACTGAAGCAGACCAGACTGAGGTGAGGCATCCTACAAACACATACAAAAATAAAGCAACATATTTAGTAAAGCATACATCAGATTTGGACTACCCTTGTAAGAAACAAGCCAATATAAACTGCAGATTTTAATAATGGCTGGCACAGTGAAGAAAGCTTGTCTGTTGTGGCAGGCCAGCATTTATATTCTGTATGCAAAGAAGGAAACAAAGAAGTTTCCTAGCAAAGACAAAAGCTGGAGGCTAATGTAAACAGTAGATGACCTTCAGTACAACGGAGGGGCTGTTTTCTTATGCACATTATTATAAATCAGCATTCATGTCAGGATTTGTGTGCTGAGGCAATCGCATATTTGGGAACAGCTAGTTAAAGCGGTTTTGTCATTTCCTGTTTGTTGCTTTACGTTCAAGGACTTAATGCTGCTTAATAGCTTAATATGGTGTTGTTTGGCCTTTTATCGATATTTTTTTTAATTGTTTTTGGGGAATTTTACAGTGCAGAGATGAGACAGGGTACGCAAAGCACTCTGGCATGCTTTAGTACTTTCCCTTTACCTGCACTTTAGGCAGAATGGAAAGCACCGATATGATGACGCAGAGAATAAGGTTGAAGCTGATGAAGAACTTGTGTTCGGTGCAGTTGTCAGGTTTGGTGTAGTAGAGATAAAACAGCACGATTGCAGCAAAGGCCAGGGCGTAATGCAGGATAGTGAAGAACAACAGACCTGTAGGCATAGAAAATAGTCTCATAGTTTCTTTCTCTGAAAAGAGTGGATTGGGACACACCTGTTTGCAAGCCTATTGTGATGAACAGGATGTCTTACAGTGTATGTGCTCTCTATGTACCTGAGAACCAACACTTGCTGTTGCCTTCCTCAGCATTCCTCACCCACACTTCATTCCAGGAGTGGGCAAAGTCGATCAGGAGGATGAGCTGGATCAGGATGAACATGAAGGAGCCCACAATACCAAAGTAGAACCAAACTGTGATTAAAAAAAAGAAGAGAAGTTATGCTTCAGTAGCATACTGGTTAAGTATGCTTAACAACAACACAAAATCAAAATCGAGGATTTTTTTTGAAAAGTGAAAAGAACAGTGTTTATTTGAAATAGAAATATTTTGTAACTATCAATCACTAAAATCACTTAATGGATGTTAAATGCATTTTAAATGCCATTTCATGTCTTTAATTTCTGGTGTGTACCATCAGTTGCTTTCAATAAAAACTGCAAGAGACAAGTAACCAATAGAGACATTGAGTGTTGAAGCCTTTCAAAGGGGTGCATATCAGAATAATATATTGTATTCAGGAATCCTATTAAAATCTGAACACAGAAAAAAGTTGTTCAGCCAAAAATTAAACTTCTGTCATCATTTACTCCCCCTCATGTCGTTCCAAACCTGTATGATTTCTTTTTTTCAGTGAAACACAAGCGAAGATATTTAAAAAAATGTTGGTAATCAAATGCTTCTAGTGACCATCGACTTTTATTGTACAGACAGAAAAAAACCACAATGGGACATTTCTCAAAATATCTTCTTTTGTGTTCCACAGATTAAAGGAAAGTCACACAGGTTTGGAACAACACGAGGGGAAGAATTTTAGTTTTTGGGTGAACACGTTAAACTATATTTATAACTATGCTTAATAAAACATGCTTCTCTGAAGGGCCCATATTCTCATACTTAAATTCACAATGAAACATACTAATGTCAAGATCTTGTTCTGGAAGTTACCCATGATCTCTGAACACAATGTTCTGCATCTTTAATTCCACACCATGAGAATTCTGGCAAGACAGTAACAACGTGTTCTCACTGCTAATGTAATATGCTATAAAAAAATAATAACATCCTATTCCACTTTTAATACGGTCTTTTCCCATGCATCTCATAACATTCAAAACAGTCATTAAAAAGTAATTGACTTCTTCCCTGCAGGAGACTAGGCGTTTTCTTCATCCCTTGAAATTCAGCCCTGCGTTATGACAATGGCTTCCCAGAATAACATTATCATGACTATTGCTGCATTCAGAGCTTAACATCTTTGCCATGTTGTCATTGCCTTTTTGTATTTCCCTATGAGAATATATGAAAATGGAAATTGTTCTGTTATGTGCAGTTAACAGAATAGTTCAACCTAAAATGTACCATCATGAAATGTTCCATCCGGAATGAAAAAGGCTCCGACAGTGATGCCAACAAGTATCAGAAACTTGAAGAACCAGAACCTGACAAAATAGTCAATGATGAAATCAAGCTAATTTCATTTTCAATTAATTTAGTAAATGTTACAATAACAGTAGCATAATAATGTAACAGTATATAAATAATAATAAAGGGCTTACCCATTCTGAATAGCAGCACGAGGGTCTTTACTGCTCTTTACACGAATCATGATTGCAGAAAAAAGGAAAAAGAAGCATGCCATAGCAAAACACATGCGGTACACTGATTTGTAGCCTACAATCACATCGCAATTGACATGGTTCTCGATCCCTGGTATTGTGGTTCCTCCTTGACAAAAGCCAGGAATCTGAAGAGACATTAAAAACTGAAAATTAACACACTGCAATGAAAGCATAAATGAGGCAAATTTAGACTGATGGTGGGCCCACCTTGCGGAGCTGCGTCTCCATGCCAGGCAAGATCATGATTACAGACACCAGTGTCCCCAGCAGAAGGAAGAAAGAGAAGAGCAGCCGAGTGACGGTGGAGTTATTGGAAGAAGGACAACAGCCACAGAGCAGACATGGAGCAGAGCCACACAAACACGAGGCCTGTAACACAGAGGGAGTAAGAGAAAGAGCAATTATATCACCAGTTCAAGCATTTATTGTTAAAATGCCATAGTTCACAAAAGAATCTGCAGAACATTATACAATTTAATATATACTGCGCTGATAAAGATTGTTTGGGGTTGTGAGTTTTTTTTATTTTTTATGTTTTGGATGTCTCTTACACTCACAAAGATTGCATTTATTTGACAAAAACAAAACAGTACAAACATTAAAATTTTGAAATATTATTACCATTTAAAGTAACTATTTTAAGTTTTGCATTTTATTATATTTTAAAATGTAACTTATTCCTTTGACTACAAAGACGAATATTTTCCAGTCTTCAGTGTCACATGATCCTTCAGAAATCATTCTAATATGCTCATTTCTTATTATTAGCATTTAGCAATGCTGAAAACTGTGGTGCTTAATAATTTTGTGGAAACCATAATGCCATAATACATTTTGTTCAGGATTCTTTGATGAATAGAAAGTTCAAAAGAACGGCATTTATTTAAATATAAATATTTTTAAACAATATGTCTTCACTGTCACTTTTGATCAAATTAATGCATCTTTTATTCTGAATAACTATAAAAGCATTAATTTTTCAAATAAATAATAAAAAACTATAGTTTTATATATATACATATATATAAATTCCCTCCTCGTATTACATTTTGATAGAGATCAGCTCTCTTTTACTTTATTTATATTATTTATACTTTACTTACACACACACACACATATATATATATACACATATATAATCATAGTTTTGCACCTGGAATAACAAAAATGTTATTTTGTCCAAAAAAAAAAAGAAAGGCTTTGACAATGAGAACCTACAGGGTGTGTAGCCACCTACAGGGTCTGAACCTTTTATAATTATATTAGTTTGAATGATTTTTACATTTGTTTCTGGCCTCTTTGAACAATTCCTTTAGTTGAAAGTGTAAGTGAATGACATTCATGCCCTAATTTGTATATGACTGCAGAAGGAAGAAGGGTTGTTTTGTTGGAGGAAACAGTGAGGAAATCTTTGTTAAAGACTTTGACCCTTATAAATCCAGTCATGCATACTGTATAAATGTTAATTTTAAAACCGTTACTCATGCTGGGAGCAAAATGTTCAGCTCAAACTGATTTTTTTTTCTTGACACAAGTCAGACCTTCACTTTTATATTTCTGTATTAAGCTGATGTGTACGTTTCAGTTCTTTGAAAATGGGCAAAGGACATTATTACAGTTGAACCCAAATTGTTATCCTCAATTACAAAAACTGACTTTCGAAAACTGAAAACCTGTATAACCTGATTATGAGCAAATCATCTCAAATAAAACACACCGAAACTACAAGAAGACCAAATCACACCATAGACTACATTACACAAAAACAATTAGCCTAATAGCTGGCTTGGCTTGACTAAAATATCATCCTCTGCATTGCTGTATAACTTCTATAAATGGTTCAGTTAATAATATCATTGTTATTTGATAGGAAGCCATGGAGGATCTGCTATAATTAATCTTAATGCAAATATGAGCACACTTCTGTGTGCTGTAGTTTTTCAGCGTACAACTCTTCGAAACCACAAATTTTTTATTTAAATATCGCCGTCCATTACGTTAATTTTTGTATTAATATGTTTTTTTTAAAGTTATATTATTCTGTTTTCGGTTCAATTAACAATTTAGAGACGCTGTTTGGTAGCAGCTCGGTTAGCTAAACCATGAAAAATAAAACAGAACACTTACACAGCTCGCAAGAGAACACAAAGCCATACAGGCTCCCATTTTGTATTAGAAAGAACAACAAGCGACTCCACAAACTTTCAGAGGATGAACTGACAAGTCAATTACAGTATGAGCTATTTAACGTTCTATCAGTTGATTCCGGTGTTTGAAGGTGACGATTGTAATGGCAATTCATTCTATTTCATAATAAAAGTCCATATAAACGCTACAAATAGATTGAACAAAACAATAAAAATAAAACAGAATAAAATACAAAATAAATAAAACACATCGATGTATAAATGTAATGTTATTTTTGTGGTATGTTATGTATTTTGAACTACTTTGCATATATTACCTATGGAGACTTTTTCCTCCTTAACATAGGAATACTAGTAGGCTTCGGTGTGTTCATATTAGTTTCAGTAACTCCTGCTTGTGCTGAAGTCCACATGTAAATTAAGCAAAAATGTCTATTATAATGTATTTTAAATCATATGTTATTGGATATAACTATAACAACACAGCCTAAAATACAGTATTTTAATAGTATTAATTTCTTATTCATATTAACATTGGTTAAGAATATTTAAATGCCAATAGTAGGCAGTTTTAGGACGCGGTAACCTTTATTTTGAAACGTGAGCTTAGTGCAAAATATAAACGGCTTATATATTAGCTATATTATATATTATAGTTTATATATTAATTAAGCTAAAAAAATTAATTATAAATTATAAAAAATGCTTATATAGCCTTATATCTATATAAATCAGTACACTAAGAATAACTTTATATGTGATATTGATATTTAAATTAATTTGATATTATAGATAATTAAATTCCAATGATGATAATGATGATATTTGTATATTTCTATCAAACTGATAACATATTTTGATTAAGTAGGTCAGGTATTTTACAAACAGATGTAATTAACCTACATCTCTTTTTGACATTGCAGTGAACATTTAAGTGAAAATTGTATTGGATTTATGAATGTGAAAGTAGATTAATTAAAATAACGATTCCAGATAACGTCTATGCATACAGAGAATCTGTGTGATAATGTCAGTATTTGTGAAACATAACAGTGTTGATCATAATAATTTAATATAAATCCTGGTATTAACACAGTTATGAGTAACGATAATGGCCCAGCTCCATCTTTGAGATGTAAGGTGGACCATAGACAGAGGCGGACAAAGTACACAACTCCATTACTTAAGTGAAAGTACAGATACTGCTGGTCAAACATTACTCCATAGACTCTCAGGGTGGGCCATACAATTTGATTGTAACCATTTTGACAAAACGACCATCTAGGATTCTGTGAGTTTTTATTAGACCCACAACAACAATTTTATGTTAGATATGTGATTTCACTCTTACTGACCAAATACCAATACCCACTGACCAAACAGCTGTAGTTACAAACTTTAATGAAGCGACAAATTTCAAAATCTGACTGGAAAGACATTTGAGTGCACTATAGGGATTTTTGTTGACATTTCAAGCTGAATTAGCAGAACAGTATGCTTCGATCGAGGCCCACCTCCCTGACTTGTTGAGTCAAGCTAATCAGTTTGTAGAAAAAACAAATATAATAAATAATAATCAATAACCAGAAAATCATTACTTTGCCATCTTAATGCCATGGTTATTTGAAACGACAGCGATTTTTTCAGTATTCATTCTCGCTGCGGTGTACCGTCTCCCCTACGAATAATTAATGGTATCGTCCTCTCTGCCCCTGTCAATTATTCCTCTGAAATCACGATCGCAAACGGGAGCCGAGATGGTGTCAAGCCTTAGGACTGGGGCAGGTGCTCTCAAAACACACCGTCTCCCGTGAAAATGTTGCATTAATTTATCAGTAACGTGAAAAATCTGCATCAGTCAGGGATATTGTGGATATCTGTCTACACCGCTGGTAAGTTCTCGCCTCTTCCTTATGCTGTTTGAGCTCGGCATGAGCTTAATCTTCTATCACAGTGTATTAAATTCATTCATTATCATTATTAAGGTGAAACACTGACACGAAGCTTCGAGGCTTTGCTGTAACGATTACTTGCACTGAAATTCATTCAAGATTAATAATGGTATAACGACATATCGGGAGAATGAACGCCCCTTTTTATTGACTAAAATTAAATAAGGATGATAACAAAATAATATAAATATAAATAAACGCACTAATAAACGCAGATGTGAGGAATCAGGGGACGCGTGTGCAACATAAACCTTTATACATGTACACCCATGGGCACGTACTGCTGTCAGATCAATTTCAGCTGTAACCCGAGGGCAACTTTAATATATTCACTGTAAAAACGGGGAAAATAAAAATGCTGGAGTAGACTTCTAGTAACTGGATAACTGTTAGTTACCTTAGTATAGAAGACAAAAGTATGAATTACTTTATATTTTTGGAGAACATTTTATCATTATCATTATCTTACATATTACAAATATATATATATATATATATTGTAGAATC